AGTGCAGTATCCCAAAACAGGGTTTTTAGACCCACTGCGGTTTCCAAGGTCGATTGCGTGCCCGCCTAGTGCGGGCTGGCATGGCATGTTAAAACATGCCTCCTCCTCCTCCTCCTCCTCCTCCTCGTCCACCTCCTCTTCATCCCGAAAGGCATCTCGGAACCCAGAGTTGCGAGGATGTCTCCAGCGTAACGGGCTGGACCACCTCGCGCGCGGCATTTCGGACCCCAGAGTTGCGACGATGTCTCGGGCGAAACGTGCTGCGAGGAAGTCTCAGGCGAAACGGGCCGGACCACCTCGAGCGCGGCGTCTCAGAGCTCCGAGTTGCGGGGGCCTCCTGGTGCCTCCTGGGGCCTCCTGGGGACCTCCTGGGGCTTCCTCCCGGGCCTCCTGTGGCCTCCTGAACTCCACCTGAGGTTTCCTGAAGCATCTTGGGGCTCCCAGGGGGGATATCTAACCTGTGGCCGTTTGGGCCTCTCCAAATACAGGGGGGGCCACAGGAGCAGGAAAAATCAACGAATCGACACCGGATGTGTATTAACTTGACACGTTCTGATAGAGGGCCTCCTGGGGCCTCCTGGGAGCCTCCTGGGAATCTCCTGCGGACCCCTGGGGCCTGTCCTGGGCGTCCTGCGGCCTCCTGAAGCTCTCTGGGACCTCCCCCTCCTCCTGCCTGCTCCCTCATGCACATCATCCGCCTCCTCCTTCTCCCTTCCATCCTCCTCCTCCTCCTCCTCCTCCTCCTCCTCCTCCTCCTCCTCCACCTCCTCTTCATCGCGAACGGCATTTCGGAGCCTAGAGTTGCGAGGATGTCTCCAGCGTAACGGGCTGGACCACCTCGCGCGCGGCATCTCGGACCCCAGAGTTGCGACGATGTCTCGGGCGAAACGTGCTGCGAGGAAGTCTCAGGCGAAACGGGCTGGACCACCTCGAGCGCGGCGTCTCAGAGCTCCGAGTTGCGGGGGCCTCCTGGTGCCTCCTGGGGCCTCCTGGGGACCTCCTGGAGCTTCCTCCTGGGCCTCCTGTGGCCTCGTGAACTCCACCTGGGGTTTCCTGAAGCCTCTTGGGGCTCCCAGGGGGGATATCTAACCTGTGGCCGTTTGGGCCTCTCCAAATGGAGGGGGGGGGGGCACAGGAGCAGGAAAAATCAACGAATCGACACCGGATGTGTATTAACTTGACACGTTCTGATAAGCGGCCTCCTGGGGCCTCCTGGGAGCCTCCTGGGAATCTCCTGGAGACCCCTGGGGCCTGTCCTGGGCGTCCTGCGGCCTCCTGGTGCCTCCTGGGCCTCCTGGGGACCTCCTGGAGCTTCCTCCTGGGCCTCCTGTGGCCTCCTGAACTCCACCTGAGGTTTCCTGAAGCATCTTGGGGCTCCCAGGGGGGATATCTAACCTGTGGCCGCTTGGGCCTCTCCAAATGGAGGGGGGGGCACAAGAGCAGGAAAAATCAACGAATCGACACCGGATGTGTATTAACTTGACACGTTCTGATAGAGGGCCTCCTGGGGCCTCCTGGGAATCTCCTGGGGGCCCCTGGGGCCTGTCCTGGGCGTCCTGCGGCCTCCTGGACCTCTCTGGGGCCTCCTGAGGCTCGCAGGGTCCCATGGAGGATATGTAACATGTGGCCTTCTGGGCCCCCAGGCTGGACCACCTCTTGCGCAGCATCTGAGAGCTCAGAGTTGCGAGAATATCTTGTGCGAAACAGGCCGGACCACCTTGCGCACGGCATCTCAGATCTCAGAGTTGCAAGGATTTCTCAGGCGAGACGGGCCGGACCACCTCGCGCAGGGCATCTCAGAGCTCAGAAGTTCGAGGATGTCTCAGGCGAAACGGGCCGGACCACCTCGCGCGCGGCATCGGGGAGATCAGAGTTTCGAGGATGTCTCAGGCGAAACGGGCCGGACCACCTCGCGCGCGGCATCTTGGAGCTCAGAGTTGCGAGGATATCTCAGGCGAAACGGCCCGGACCACCTCTCGCGCGGCATCTGGGAGCTCAGAGTTTCGAGGATGTCTCAAGCGAAACGGCCCGGACCACCTCTCGCGCGGCCTCTCAGAGTTCAGATTTAGGAGGATGTCTCAGGCGAAACGCTCAATCCCGGACAACTCAGAAACGAGAGTTGTGAGGATGTCTCAGGCGAAACGGGCCGGACCACCACATTTGTTTGAGGATGTCTCTGCTTAGCTTTCCCTCGGCCGGAATTAGCTTCTATCACAACAGCACCCCGTTCAGCAAGCTGTTTGGGGAAAAACGAGAAAGCCAAACACATTGTTTTTTCTTCAGGTTTTGGCATGGTTTGGGCCTCTTGGGGGACTCCTTGGGGAGCTGTTTCTCCACTCCGTCTTGGGGCGGTCTTGGGGTTTCTTGGAGCATCATCGGAGCCATCTTGAGGCATCTTAGGGTATCTTGAGGCATCTTGGAGGTCATCTTGGACTCTTGGGGCGCTCTTGGAGCCATCTTGGGCCATCTTGGACGCCCCAACGCGTCGCGAAACGCCCCGTCCAGGCCAGTCGGGAGGGGTAAGGGGAGGGGTGAACCCCTCCCCGAAGGGAAAGAATGGGGGTTGGAAGAGGAAGCTCTTTGGACCACCGACGCCTTACAGGGCTGGTGGGATTCCGACCAGGTTCGGAGACTCACTGTCTTCGCGCCCACAGCCACTCCATCACATAGAGGCCCATGCGGCAGGCAAGCCATGAGGTCACTGCACCGATCAGCGCGTCGATGTGCTGCGTAAGTGACCCAACCTGAGCTCAATGCTACTTCTGGTGCATCAAGCAGGCTCTGCGACGATTGACCCTCTTGGCTGCTTTGGTTGCTCTTGGGGCGCGCCAGCCCCTCAGATGCGGGCGGCGCGCGCAACAAGAGCCGCGACGGCCGGTTTTGGACGCACTCGGCCCTCCACTTCCTGGCCCCGGGGGCTGGGAAGAAACCACCCACGGGGAAGAGCCAGCCGTGCGGAAGGAGTCGAGATCCCCGGCGGCCCGTCTCACGAAGAGATTTGCCAAAGCCGTCCGTTCGGATACTTCGCGACGCGGGGAGTCTGGGCACTCTTGGCTGCGCCCGCTGGGGGGGCGGCGCGAGGGGGCCGGCTTCCAAGGCGGGGGGCCCTCTCAGGACGGCCTGGGGCTTGTCGGAAGCTGGGAGGGCTTCCGAGACGCCCCCTCCCCCCCTCTCGTTGTCTTCTCAGCAGCTTCCCCGCCCTGGAAGGCTGCCCCCCTCGCGCCACCCCGTTGCGCGTGCAGTCACGACTGGCCAGAGCCTTCTTCGCGTAGGAGCAGAGCAACGCGACTTGTCTGACAGCTTGCAGCTTCGAGGGGCCCGCAGCGGGCCCCTGGAACCGGGAGGTGCACGCTGCGGCAGAACTCACGACGTCCGAGGTCCCGAGGCTGGGATGAACGCTTCGCGACCTCTCGGGGAACCGATGTCCACGGGAACCTCCTCGTCTAAGCCTCAGGGCGCTGCACAAGTTTGACCCAACACTCTTCCTCCCTCCGCCTCCTCCTTCCTTCTCCCTCCTCCTCCTCCTCCTCTTCCTCCTCCTCCTCCTCCTCCTTCTCCCCCTTCTCCTCCTCCCCCTCCTCCTCCTCCCCCTCTTCCTCCCCCTCCTCCTCCTCCTCCTCCTTCTCCTCCTCCTCCTCCTCCTCCTCCTCCTCCTCCTCCTCCTTTCTCTTAGCCTCAGGCCGGTGCACCGTGCGCGCCGAGGAGTGCCGGCGATCCTTGGCGCCTGCCAGGCGCTCAGGATCGCCTGCCAGGCGCTCAAGATGTGCCGATCCTGGGCCCGACTGGACGGGCCTGGCCAGGAGCCGCGTCGCTGTACGGTAGGTTCATGTCGTGTCGACCGGCGGCGACCCCGCCGCGGGCGTTCAAGGTTGAACGCCGCCAGTGGCCCAGAGTCGGCCCAAGATGAAACGATCGGGCAATCGAAGAGCCGCCGATCGTTCAAGGTCGAACGATCCACGCGGTGTCAGAAACCAACGCTGGGGTCGTCACGACACGAAACCGCCGTAGGTAAATGGGCGCGGGCCGGATTTGTTCGACTGATGCGGTCGGCGGTTCCGTGGAACGCGCCGGTTTCTCGGCGGCGAGCGCGGAGAAGTGAGAAGGAGGAGGCGTTCCCTTCTCAGAAGGCGGCGGGGCTTCTCAGACGCCCTCCGGCCTTCTGAGAGCTTGTCTGTGTCTGGGAAGGCCAGGGGACTCCCGAGCCTTCTGAGAAGGCCCGCCCCTTCTCGCTTCCCCAAGGCTCGCCGCCGACAAGAGATGCCCCGAACCCTCGCGTTCCCCGCCCCTGCGAACAACGCCGACGTCAAGAAGTTATGCCCGCGCGCACATAAACGGGATCCGTCGCCGTGAGGACAGAACGGCGTCGTGAAGAATCTGGACCCGAGCTCTCGACACGCTCTTTCCGCGGGATCGACCTCTCCCAGCTGGATCGACGCATAAGGGCAAATGTCCCAAAGCAAGCGCCGCTCGTGATCTTCCCACGACGCCCCGATCCGAGGTCAGCAGAGGTCCGAAAACGTCCACGGAGGCCTCCAGACGGCCCCGCCAGAGGCTTACAGAGTCTGAACCAGGGCAACATAGCATAACGAGCAAACACATTGCCTTCAGGTCTCCAGAAGCCTCCAGAGGCCTGAAAGGGCCAATCAACAACCTCGGCAATCGCCGAGAATGGTGATGGTCTTCTTAGGAACATGGCGCGTTTTACAGTGGGCACATCAAATCCAAGTTCAGCCCGCACTAGGTGCTCCGCGAAGTTTCTAATACCCAGAAGGCCCCAGGGCCACACATAATCCTCAGGGCAGCTTAGGTGGTGCAGTGATCTACGACAAGCTTGTCCCTGGAGTCCCAGTGGGGAATATATCCTAACCATCGCCTGTACCTGCTGGGGACTCTTTTTTTTTTCTCACTCCGAACGCTCGATCCTTCGGTAGGTCCCCTTCGGCACAGGTCGCCCGACAGCCGTCGCCGTCGCCGCAGCCGCCCATCAGTTCCCTCGGCAGGTCGCCTTCGGCAGGTCGCCCCATAGCAACCCGCCTGGGGCGTTCGACCGGGGCCCGGCTGCAGCCCGGCCGCAGGCGCGCGCGCCGCCGCCTTGGCCGCCGCCGCCGCAGCGCCCTCAGCGCCGCCCTCGACGCCACCGCTGCAGCTGCCGCCGCAGCCAACGCCGCCGCCGCCGCCGCCACCGCCGCCCGCTGCACCGCCCAGCCCAGTGGGCGCCGCCGCCACCGCCGCGGCCGCCGCCGCTCGTCGGGGCACCCGTGCCTCGCGGGCCGGGCACCTGGGCCGCAACTCCGCGGGTGCGGGGGGCGTCTCTGCGCACGCGCGCGGAGCACAGCCGTGCGGCCGCGCGGAGCGCCGTGGGCTCGAGGCCCCGGACTCCGGGCCGCGAGGGCGCGGCCACGGACGTGCTCGCCGCCCGTGGGCCGCAGCCTCCGCCCTCGTGGCCGCCTGCGGCGGCGCCGCCGCCGCAGCCGTCGCCGCCGGCGCCAGCGGTCCGTCGCGGTCTGTCGCCGCGGCCAGGCCCCCGGGGGTGGGGGGGTTGGGCCGCCCAGGCGACGCCCGCCGCGGCCGCGGCGGGCAGGGCGCGGACGCCGCCCGCGGTCGGCAGGGCGCGGACGCCGCCGGCGGTCGGCAGGGCGCCGGGCGCCGCCGCGCGCCCGGGGCGTCGCTACAACGCGGACCTCGGGGCGCACGCAGACCTGAGCCTTTCCCTTTTTTTTCGCGCGACGCAAAAAAAAACAACGGGTTCGACTGCGCCGACATTCGCGCGTGAGCTGCTCGTGTGACTGAGGTCGCGCGTAAGCGCCCTCGCCTCCAGTGTAGCGTGCCGCGCTGGCGGCCCGCGTAAGCCACCGCGTAAGGTTACCAGGTCATCTCGCGTAAGACGGGTATCTTTTCGTCGCTCATTTGGGGCATTCCCGAAATGTCCTCGCCTTTGAGGATCGAAGGAGCTGGCATCTCTTCTTCGGCGGAAGGGCGGCGGAAGCCCGCGGAAGTAAGGCGAGGTCGCCTCCGCTGGCGGAAGGCGGCGGCAGGCTGACGGAAGCCAGCAGACGTAAAACATACGCCCCCAAGAGATGGCAACATCCTTAGATTCGGGGTTTCCGGAACCCGCTTACATGGCATTGTGTTGTTTCCCCTCAGCGCTCTCTCGTTCGTTATGAGAGAATCCTGGAGGCCTCGCGCTGCGTGCAATACTAGTATGATCTAGTCCACACGTCCGCCACGTCAGATATGGGACGATTTTCGCGAGGAAAACCCCTGACGCAAGTCTGACGGAAGTCCGACGTACATCCGAAGCGAACCCGACGTGCCTCCGACGTAAATCCGATCGAGTTGCCGCGCGAGGCCTCCAGGATTTGCCCCATAATTTACAGTACTAGGCTAGAAAAATGTGCAAGGAACTTCCGGCTTGCGTCCAAGCATTTGCCACTACAAAATCAGATCATCGGAGACCCCGACGATACGTTTTTCAATCCTGCTGGTGTTTCCTCGATTCTGGCGTCTGAAGCTGAAGCCCGTCGCCAAGCGCCGGGACCATCAGGAGCGGACCCAGGGCGCCGCTACAACGCGGACGTCGTGGTTCAGGCCGTCATTTCTCTTCAGCATTTTGTTTCGCGACGTCGGATCTCAGGGTTCTCGGGCGTCTTCGTCGGATCTCAGGTGCTTGCTCGCCTTGGGATGCGCTGCTGCTGCTGCGCCTCGACGAGGGTGCGCCAGGGGTGCCCAGAGAGGCGGGAGCGGCCGCTGGAGGCCGAGCATCGCGGGTCGAGGTGCGCGCATCTCCTGGTTGCCTCGCTACGCCCGTTGTGAAACGCAGCACGTGCCGCGCTGAAAGCGTCAGTGTCGATACGTTACGTGTTGGCTCCACGTAATGGAGGATGGCGATTAATAAAGGACCGGGGGTCGTGTTCTCGCGGCGGGGCCCGGGATGACGATTAGAAAAAACCGGCCGCGGGCTGGAAAGCTATGTTTCAAATCGTTCTCCTCCAGTCCGAAAATTGTGCAGAAAGAGCAGGACACTATTTTTCAATCGTTCCCCCCACTTTTTTTTATTAATCGTTATCCCGCACTATTGGACCACATGTTGGCGGACGTCTCGCGTCCGTTGTGCCGAGCTTCGCAGCAATACGCTGCGTGCTGCGTGCTGCGCATCTGGGCAGCTAGAGATCCTGGCGCTTCTCTCTTGGATCTCGGTCGTCGGGCGTCTCGCAAGGAGGGGCGATAATTAGATGGGGAGTACACCTTAGGCGATGCTTAAGAAAACTTAAGTTTTCGGCCAGAGTCTCGATTATTCTTAATGTTTCAATGTGAATCCTAACATTTTAATCGACATGTTGGGTTTTTTTATCCAAATTCTGAGACTCTGAGTTTCTTAACCCATGATTTCTTAAGCATCTCGCAGGGTGTAGGGGCGATAATTAGATGGGGGGTCACAAAGCAAGGTGCACCTTCTGTGCCCCAGAGAGGCCGTCAAGAAGAAGGGGCTCCCTGGTGCGCAGAAGGGGCACGAAATGTGCCAGAGCGTGAATTACCTACCCCGCTTTCGCTTCCAGGCAAAACCAAGGCGTACCACGCGCCTCCTCGTCAAGCGGCCTGACCAGTACAGGCCGCAGTTTGGCATCGCTTGGTATCTCTTGGAAGCGAAGGTGGTCAAAAGCGAGGTAGGTTTGTTTGCCCCCTCATGTGTACGGTTCCCCCCTCCATGTCGCTCACCCCATTAAGCAACGCCCGACGGCCTCTGGGGCCCGTTATCGGGCCCAGCGCAACCAGAAACGGATCCCGCGCGCAACGCTAGGGTCGGGACCTCTGGGGCAGCATGTTAAACAAATGGTATCGTCTGATGTCTGAGCACGCGACGAGGGTCAGCGCAACCGTGGGTCAGCCAGTCCCCTCCGATCCCCTCTTGTGGACTCGGGCGGTTTCGCCAGGTTTTCGGGCCCCGGGTCCCTCGCGGATCGACCCCGCTCGAGAAGTACCGCCGAAATATTGGGTTTGGGTGTCCGGTCGTGTGTTCCTCCGATGTTGCAATTTTTCGCGACGCAGGATCCCAGTGGTAAGAACAAGCATGCAGTTTGGGAGGGGTGTGCTTGCGTTCTTCGCTTTGGGACTCTCCACTTGGGTTCTCTTCGTTTGGTGTGTCTCCACGGTGCCCTTGCTTTCGGCGAAGGGTGGAGGGGCTCATGTCGTTGATCCGCATTCTTGAGGACACGTTTCGATTGTAACCGTACAGCTCTATGCATCCTGCGCTGACTGGTCTGCGGAGGCTCGTCTGCTGCCCATGTCGGCCCGTGGAGGCTGGTTTCGGGTATCGGGCCGTAAATCAACGACTCGGGATTAAACATTTGCCCGTGGGAATGGTCGAGAAGTCCAGGAACCCACGCATGCAACAGCTCGACGCGGTGGATGCGTGAGGATTCCAATGCAGCTGGCACGAGGGCGGGAAGGTGTCCATGTCTAACGATCCTCACCGACGCCGAATCTCTGCCCGCGCTATTCGGCACCTAAAATTCAATCTTCATAGGGTCCTCGCCATTCATCGTAAGAGTAATAATTGCTCCCCTGCGTACAAGCCCCAACAAAGCGTAAGGATATCAGAGTGTTCTGCTGACGGGATCAACAATGATGAAGCCAAGGTGCACCATGATGACGCAACGATCTATGCTGAAGCCGATCTTTTCATGACGAAGCCACGACTTGCCATGACGAGTCTTACCCCTGGAGCCGTCCTCCTTGGCCTTCCGCGAGGACGACGATCACGACGGCGTGGGCCCGCATGCAGATGTCACCATTGGGGCCGTCGCCAGAGCTCCATGCAAAGGGGCACGAGCCATACAGTCGGGGCCCTCAACAAGGAACCCTTTTGGTTGGGGAGGGGCTCCGCGTTCCTTAAGTGTTTCACACCTTTCCTCAGGTTTTCCTTATGTTTTCGATCGGAAATCGAAGTTTAACTTATGGGCAAAAGGGGCCTCGTTCCTCATTTAGGGTTCCTTAGGTCAACGCCCCGACTGTATGGGGCTCCACCTGGGGGTGGGCCCGCATGCGGGCGCTCCTGCGAGCGCCGACGACTCCGACGCCGGCGGCGACAAACGACTCCGCCGACGGCGACTCTGAAAACCCTGGCGAAGATTCCGGTGACGACGACGACTCCGACGATGACTCCGACTCCGACGACGCTGGCGACACATCTCACGATTCCGACCCCGGCTGCGACGACGATCTTTCGTTGACTTCGTCTCCGATCCTGGCAGCGGCGACAATTCTGAAGAGAGCTCCGATCACGACTCCAACGATGATCCTGATTGCGACCACGATGGCGACTTCGCCGCTGACGACACAGACGACTCCGACGACGACGCCGACAACTCTGATGACGACGTTGACGACGCCGCCGACATCGTCTCCGACGACGACGACGACGACAACGACGACACCGACGATTTCGACGACGTCTTCGACGACGACGACGAGATTTCGACGATTCTGACTTCGACGAAGACTGCGATGTGATCCCGATAACTCAAACGGCTCCGCCGACGACGACGACCACGATCTCGACTCCGATGACTACGACGCTGACACCTCTTGTGCAAAGACGATTCCGATTCCGAAGACGACGACTCGACAAACACGACTCCGACGACGACGATTCCGTCGACTCCGGCGACGGCCGCGATTCCTTGGCTCCGACGACGATGGCGACCAATCGAACGAACCACCTGCTGACCAGGGCGGCTATGGCTCGAATGCCTCTGGCGACTCCGTCGGCTTCGACTCCGATTCTGGCAAAAACGTCGACGTCGTCGACGACAACGACGACAAAGACGACGACGGGATTCCGACGGTTCTGACTTCGACGAAGACGGCGACGTGAGGAATTGGCGGAAGCAGATGTGAGGCGTCGATGTCATTGGGCTTCGGCTTATCACGTGCCGATGCCCTCTCGAAGCGAAGATTCAAGCCAGCAAGCCCACCAGGATTGCTCCAGGAGTGACCTCCGATTGCTAGGTTCGAGCTCCGCTTGCTCGCAGCCAGGGCATGCCTCCCGGGGGAGCCCTCGCCGCCACGGCTGGTGGCTGGATTTGCTTCGGGATCCTGGTCAGAGCCCGCAGCCCTGTGCCATTCGCCTTTTTGGGCCCAAGCATCGTGCCAGAAGCTGAGTGAAAGCATGAGCTTTCGGAGGTGCTGCGCCAACCGACGAAATTCGCAGAGAGTGAGAGAGAGGGAGAGAGAGAGAGAGAGAGAGAGCGAGAGAGAGAGAGAGAGAGAGAGCGAGAGAGAGCGAGAGAGAGAGAGGGAAGCCGTGCACGCCAAAGGTGCGTCGGGGCGTCGCAGTTTTTTCGGGCCGCAGGCACCTCCAGATTGATCTGGCTCGAGAAGTGCTGCAGAAAGACAGGGTCAAGGGCCCCTTTCGTGAGTTTTCAGTGCGCTTTGTTTTGCCACAGCCGATTTCAGGGATATGCTTCCCCCGTGCTCGCCTTTTCGAGGTCTCATGGGGAGCCTTTGTCTCCACGACTTGATTCGCATCGGAACCCTGGTCAGAACCTACCCTGGGAGAGGTCCTGGGAGTTGGCGGCATCGCTGCTTCGTGCCCTCCGAAGGACGACTTCCGGGCGCTCTTCGGCGTCTTCGAGGCCATGGACCGCAGGCCTGGGCGTCCCGCAAAGGGGGGCGCCAGTGGAGCCCCCGGACCCCCTCGCGCCGAGAGACGATCTCGCGAGTGCAGGCTCATTTTTGTGTGGGGGGGGGGGGGGGCAGCCTGCAGCTCCCGACGGGGCATCCTTGGGCCGCCTGTAGCTTCCGAGGGGAGCAGCCTGTAGCTCCCGAGGGGACGTCCTGGGCTTTTGTGTGGGGGGGGGGGGACGTCCAGAGGGACGTCCTGTAGCTTCCTTGGGCTTTGTGTGTGTGTGTGTGTGTGTGTGTGTGTGTGTGTGTGTGTGTCTGTGTGTGGGTGTGGGTGTGGGTGTGGGTGTGGGTGTGTGTGTGTGTGGGTGTGGGTGTGGGTGTGGGTGTGGGTGTGGGTGTGGGTGTGGGTGGTGGTGGTGGTGGTGGTGGTGGGGGGGGGGGCAGCCTGTAGCTCCCGAGGGGACGTCCTTAAGCCCCGGGGCCGCCGAAGAGTTCTTCGGGATGAGGAGCTGAGGCCGGGGAGGTGGGCGAAGCGGGCTCCGCGCCGCGAGCAGCAGCCACCATGACGGGGGGGCAACGGAGGGCACCCTGGGGCAACTTGTGGCTCCCGAGGGGACTTCCTGGGCCCCGGGGCCGCCGAACAATTACAGTCGGGCTGCTGAAATGAGGAACGCTAAAGAAGGGACGAAGCCCCTCTGTGGCTTCAAAAAAGCCTGGGTGCACGAGAAGGGCTAGAGGTACAACCACGGAAGGACGTAAGGAACATCGAGCCCCTTCCGAATCCAAGCTGTTCCTTATTTCAGCGTCTTGGCTGTATTCAGGATGAATAGCTGATACTGGGGAGGTGGACGAACCGGGCTCCGCGCTGCGAGCAGCAGCCACCACGTCAGGGGGCAATGGAGGGCAGACCTGCGTGTGGGGGATCGTGCCACGTCGCCGACGGGAGCGGCGATGCGGCGCGATGCAGAGCCTGACGCTCTCCACTCAGGCCCGACGAGAGGCGGGGACTGGGCAAGCGGGGGGCACGATGTATGCTGCACACAGCCCGTTTCGGCCCCGCCGCGGGGCGCTCTCCACCTCCAGGTACAGCGGCACCTCCGCGCCTGGAAGCGCCGCAAAGTCCAGCTGCATGCATCCGACCCGCTGGCACCCCCGTTGCTGTCCCCCCCCTTCGCCAGGCCTCCTGCGCTGGACTCGTCTCACAGGACCCGGATTCAGAGGAGGAAGAGGTACCCATACCTCTACTCCTCGCCCGTTTTCCCGTTTCTCGGCCTCGTGTGAGGCCCTCGTCGTCACCGCTGGATTCGCCTCGAAATCCTGGTCAGAACGCACCCCGGGAGAGGTCCTGGTCAGAACGCGCCCCGGGAGAGGTCGGGGGAGTAGCGGTATGGGTACCTTTGGGGCCCCCTTATGGACGTTTGGGACCTGCTTCTCCTCCCGCGTCTTTTCTTTGGACGCTCCTAGGAGGGCCGAGCAGCGCCCCCAGAAGCAGAGCCTTTGCCAACGCCTGGGTCGCCCCTCCTCGTCATCGCCCCGGTCCACCCTGGGCATCGCCGCTGCCTCGGCGGCTGCGGCTCGAGCCTCCCGCCTCGAGCCTGGAACAGCTGCCCGATTAGAGGGCCAGCGGCCCTTCCAGACCCCGGATCTCGCACGGAGCTCGCCCAGATCTCTGAGCGCCATGCCGAGGCGTCCGTTCGGGGCGGGAAGCGCCGCACCCCAGGACCCGGAAGCCCAGACCGCCGACTCGAGGTCATGCTTTTGGCTCGCGGTTCCCAGGAGGTCTGGGCCTTTCCTCTGGGATCGGCATTTCATTGTGAGTCGTGTTGTTGACGGTTCTTGGGCCCAGCCCAGCGAGGGCACGCAGAGGCCGAAGATCGCCAGAAAGCGTCCGCCGCGATCTTCTCGCATCGAGAGGGGGGGTCGCCGACCCCGCTTGCTGCAGCCCCACCTTGGGGCGGCCCACACCAGGGGCGCCTGCGCCGTGAGCCGGGAGGACTTCCTGTGGGCCAAGGTGGCGTTCGAAAGGACCGCGGAGGGGGGGGGGGGGGGGGGCGAAGGACGGGGAGGCAGACCCAGCGGTTCCAAAGACCAAGTCGATCTGTTGTTGACAGTTGTCGGCCTACGGGGCCCCTCGCGGGGCCCCCAGACTATCGAAGCAAGGCCCGGGATGCCTCCGGGGGTCCACGCTGTGAGGGGGAGGTCGCGGCGACGGAGGTCTTGATAGGGAGGGCGTTGGATTGGGAGGGGGATCGAGGCGGAGGAGGAGAAGGCAGATCGAGGGAGAAGCTCTGCATGAGCATTAGCTGTCGCAGGTCCGCGCGGAGTTCGTGGGTCGGCACTGGGCCCCCTGGAGGCGCCTCCGTCGCCGCCCCCTGGCGCACTCCCCGCGCGCCAGGAACGGGATCCAGCGCCGATCCGGGGAAGCCGCGCGGGCATCCGAGAGTTGGTGTGTACGTGCAGCTTGCGGAGGATCGGGGATCGGGGACTGAGAGCGCGGCGGATGAGGAGGAGGAGGCGGAGGAGGAGGAGGAGGAGGAGGAGGAGGAGGAGGAGGAGGAGGAGGAGGGAGGAGGAGGAGAAGGAGCACTCGTTCTCCCTTCACCTGGGGGTAGCTCCCCCTGTTATTCGGCCCTTTTGTTTATAGCCCCCCCCCCACCAGCGATGCCTTGCTGCTGGCACAGGGAGGGACCGGGGGCGGGGGCTCCAGTTCCTAGTGAACAGACAAGCCCGCATCACCGAGTCGCCGAGGAGGAGGAGGAGGAGGAGGAGGAGGAGGAGGAGGAGGAGGAGAAGGAGAAGGAGGAGAATATGGAGGACCAGGAGGTTGCGAAGAAAGAAGGGGAGGCCAATGAGCAGGACGAGGGGGAGGAGGAGGAGGAGGAGGAGGAGGAGGAGGAGGAGGAGGAGGAGGAGGT